TCATTACCGCCCAAAAAACCTACAAAGCATACCTGGATTCCTTTTTATCGTTAGAAATCGCTAGATTTACAACAAACCCCACAAAATCACCCTAGAGTTTATCCGGAAAAATCGATAGAACCGGAACCGGAAGTGCTTCCCCTCAATGTCGAATTGGAGGAGTGGGGAAACATGTAAGAAGACGTTATGTAACTAATGTTGATAAGGCACAGACAATTTCGATAAGCCCCCTTGTCATCCTAATCTCAACCCTAAATAGCATGTATGGAAGAAGATAGACCGGAGTGTGAGCCAGCTTTTCCAGCAGCAAAATCTAGCGGAATTAGAGGACTACCTAGTCTTTACATGGAAAAACATTCAATAAAAGAATTTTTGTTAAATAATGTGAACTTTTTGAGGAATGGTCGTCTTGCTGTGAATTCGTTTGAATGGGGAATAATGCAGTATTTAACATTGTGAATTTTTAATTCTAGGGTGCCTTAACGTTCCTGCATATTGTGTTAAAGCGCTTCAATAAAATTGATAAAAGTGAGAAAAATTATTTTGCTACTTTATTATCCTGTATACTTATTAAAGTATACTGTTTAAATAATTCAATATAAGAGCAGTGTAAAGCAAAAAACTTGCCCGGGGACTTAGAAATTTTGACTAGTATATATATATATAATGTTGCAGGATCAATATTCAGAAGCGAGTTGTGGGTCAGAATAATTCTGTGGCATTCCTGGCTGATTCGATTTGTATCGGTAATGATTTTTAATCGGCCATAGTCTTATTGATAAAATGTAGCGGTATTGATCACCCGAAATTTCAAAGAAATGTAGCGTAAATGAATCGAAAATTTTTGCAATGTAGCGGTAATGTTGACCTCCCCAAAAGATATAGAAATTGCGGGATCCAAATACAGGCAACTATACATTATTCTGGGTCAATACATTGGATATATATATAGAACACCGTTTGATACTGAGTATATACTTTTCCATCTATAAAATGTAAAATAATTGTTGATTTGATTACACTTACCTTAAATCTTAATGTGTGATATTTTTTTCTGAATAAACCTAAAGTAGCGAATGATTTTCTGAGACTTCAACCTAACATATTTTTTGATTATTGAAACATCGCGATTCACATATAGATCTCACGCGCGATCTTTATAGTAACATTTTAGTCGCATTTTTTCTTTCAAAGAATGTGTTATTGAAGCTTTCTTTCACATCTTTATAAGAATTTATATGTAGATGTATAAACTTTAAGAAGAACACAACTATCGTACGATAAAAAGTTTTGAAATAAATTAGCCTTATTTTTTTCTTTTAGATGTATACAATATAGTACATTGAAAATAAAATCTCATACATATAAATAAAAACATCGTTACAATTTAATAATGATTCACTGAAATCAGGCTATAAAATCTAGCCGTTTCTCCTTATCACACCAATACTCATGGGGAAAGTATATAAAATATTGTGGGACACGCGCAAAATCCTGCCGATGCACTCAGCGGTAAGATTTCATATATATAAAATTGCATTGTGGGTCATTTTTTGATTGTGTAATTATGGGTCAAAATTTTTTTTTTTTGTAAAAAATGAATATAGTTACTATATTATTGTCATAAACAAAATTTTAGGCACATGGTTTGTGGGTCAATATATAATGACCCATAAACCATCCATGGTACCCACAACATGAGTGGGAAAGACGCAAAATAACCCACAATCCGCATGGCACAAAACTATATATATATATATATATATATATATATATATATATATATATATATATATATATACATACATATATGTATACTGTAGTGATAGCCTGTCCAAGGACACATATGTTCTATTGACTTTTATTTTACATCTAAATGAACTAACCATGCATGCATTGTATTATAATACTAAGATAAATGAAATACAAATACGTGTCTGTCTGTCTGTCCCAGGGAATAATTAAAATAATGTCCAAAAACTGAATGTTGCACATAAAACAAGAGGCCCAGGGGCCACATTGCTCACCTGAGCACATCGTCTAGGAAAAAGCACAGATCCGGTCAAAACGGCCAAGTGGTTCTTGAGAAGAAGATTTTTAAAAAAAATTCATTAATTTTTCAATAATTCATAATTATCTCCCCTTGGAAGAGGGCGTGGCCCTTCTTTTGAACAAACTTGAATCCCCTTTACAGGGTTCTCATCAAGTGCCGGCGACCGGCGATTTCGCCGTCTACTTATACACTGCCACCGGTAAAGAAAATCTGTGCTTCAGAAGAGAATTTTGGCTATCCCGTTTGTCTTGTTCACGTAGTGAATAAAAAACGTAAACATATAAATTGCGTTGTTATTTGACGCTTTCCTTGTAAGATTATAACCCCCTTTTTTTAAAAACGTGGTGATATACAGGAATCGCAATCGAAACACGGACGATAACTCGAACTCAGTGCATCCACAAAGATTCCAGAGAGTTCTGAAAGCAATCATGGCGTACGTGCCAGAAAAAAAAACGTTGAGAATATTAGTTGAATTATTGTCTTTATTTGGATTAAAATTTAGGTTTAAAGACATATAGAACCTCAAAAAAATTTCTTGTAATTAATTTTGAAGTTATTTCCAGTGCAAATCCCTTTGTATACTTAAAATTCGTTTCGGAACGATTCTGTGGTGAGGCTTTGTCCCGACTAAGACACAGTAAGATTATTCTAACTACGGATAGAAATACAGGCGCATCACTGTTTTCTGACAAAGAATTGTAAGGGTGACTTTCTGTCTGGATTTCAATGATACTTGCATATTTTTTTTTATAATTGTGAGAATATAGCGTACATATATCTAGTTAATAAGCTGCAGACACTCAGACTTTTTAGTATTCCACACATCTAAACAATGTAAATGTTTTCAATCAAATAACTGCTACAAAAAGCAACATTTTTTTTAGTGATGGAACGATTGTCGGCGACAATTGATTGTCGGTCGTTAGAAGCTCTTCGATGCTACTAATCGATTATAAAATAAATGTCGCCGACATCACTAACAAAAAATAAAATTGTCAAACTTTATTTTTTTTACCAAATCCAAGTGCAAAGAGCATAAAAGTAGTGATGAATGTCGAAAACATGAAAGGATCCCGTGTCTTGTTGATACTTTTACCGCCATGATTAAATATGGGGTTAGACTAATACCAGGAAACGGTTTTATATTGCAAGTAAAGGAAAACATAATTAGTCTAGTCAATCTTTAAACGTAATTATAATCATAAATACAAGTCTAACATGAGGATAACTACTTTTACAACTTGCAATTTTAACTAATCAAAACTAATTTTAAGAAATAAATACGTACATGTATTAAATGAAAGGTGGGACTAATATCAGTAAAATACCCATTGCATGGACTTTATAAAAAAATAAAATAAATTCCCATTCTGTTTCAATAGTCCTATGTTGTTTAAAATAGACAAAATACTATTTTCCACTTTTTAAGAAAGAAATTTCAATTAAGATTTTTGAATATTTTATGTAAGTAAATGTTTTTTTATGTAAAAGTCTGCAGAAATCTGAATAAGTTTTAACTTTTCTGTATTAATTTTATTGAAGTTCAAAATTTCGATTATAATCGATTATTAATCGATTATGCCCAACCGATTATTACCGATAATCGATTATGATTTTTTTCCGATTCCCCATCACTTTTAAAAAAAGAAAAATCTTTATTCATAGCATATACATATATTACAAAAATCAAAGAAATTTTATAGATCATCATAGGCTGTGTGCTATTGCTGTGATTTTTTTTTAGCAAAATGGGCTCCTAAATAGTGTCATATTGAGAACAAATGAAACAAGTCAAAATATGCCCAGAAAGGTCCAAGAAACCTCCTGCAATGCAAGAATTACCTCTTGCCGAAAGGGGGGATACCCCCCTCTCGGACTCACCCCCCAATAGGGTAGAACCGAGGCCTTCAGATTGCACTCGGAAGGCCTCGGGTACTACCCTATTGTCATCCGAGTGAGTTATCTTTTCTTGGGCGAAGAGTTTCACACTGTGCAGAAAGCTGGGATTTTCGTTGGATAAAAAGCTATTTTTGATGGATATATTTGGAATATTTTAGCCAAGATAAGTACTAGGACATCATTTGCGCTAGTTCATTTCAGGATTTGTGTGACTTTTCTCAAGTAATTTGTATTTTGACTTAGTTTAAAAATCTTGTGCTACTTCGATTCTTCCCTTGTGTATTTTTATATGTTAAGTAGAGAACAGAGTGGATAAGATGCCCCTGTGGATTGATTAAATGATTGACCAATGCTAGAAAGTGGAAAAATTCTCCCAAAAAGTGCGTAAAAAATATTGCGCCGTTAATTGCTCCCTTTAATGCGTTACAGGATCTGTAGCGTTATGGTCAAAGACAAGCATATAAAATCATATCGCTACAGATCTGCAGATAGCAAACAGTATGCCAGTGTCTACTAGAATTTTCACTGTCTTTAACTTGATATTCCATCTTACAATGAAATTAACATAATATAAATAAGGCATACAATACCTCAACTTTTTGCTTTTTATATGGCCCTCTCTTTTTCACTCTTTCCATGGCTAGGTGTATATTTTATATCAATCATAACCGATCAGACAATTCAGCCATGTTCCCGCCATGTTCCATTCGGCAATCTTAAGTTGAGCAGAAAAGAGATCACGGGATATTAAAAAAAATGATCTTAGATTTTCCTCGAGAAGAAAATTCAAACTGAATGATCAGAAATGTTGCCTGAAAAATTTTAATAACTTAATAAACACGATTAAAAAATTTTTATTAATAAATTAGATAGAAACAATCGCACTCTGGGGCTTTTCAGACTGTATGGATACACGAACAATAAAAATACTCGATGTGTTCCGAAAAACTTTTAAAGTGCGGGGTAGTTCTACTGCGAAGAAATTGCGCCTTTTTCAACATTCAAACCTACATTGCAGCAAGAAGGATTCGTAGAATTGATCAACATGGACTTTTGTGTTGTCCATTTTGAATATGACAGTCAAATAACTGTTGTTTCGGCCACAAAAATAAAGGTAGATGATGAAATGAATTTGCAGGCAGAATTGCAGTGCTTAGCACCTTTCGAAACGGAATCCATTGGCGACGACGGTCGTGAGATAGTGATTAACCAAGATTATAAAGGGACAGTTATCTGCACTGGCCAAGGTATTTATCTTTTTTTCAAATTTGTCACCAGTGTATTCATAAGCTTAATTTGGTTTTAATATACCTTGTTATGATATATAGGTGTAGGGTGGTTTGGATAATACGCCTCCCCCCTTTTTTAAATTACAAAACAATGTAAGAGAGTATAATACCTAAAATTATAAAATTTCCCTGTCAAACACATATCCATATGTTGTTTTATGTAAGCAGATTTGACTTGTCTCATGTTTAAAGAATGGCCCTACATAATAGAAATACACAACGTAAGAAACAAAAGTTGTAAACAAATGGGGGTTCTCTGCTTCGAGACAAATTTTGGGCAATTTTAATCTGACATGAAAACTATCCTTTCTAAGATGATTGCATCTTACTATTAAATTGCCCCCCAGGCAATGGAGAAGTGCAATTCTAGACCCCTATAGTGTAATTTGAAAGATGTATTGAAAATGATTAGTATTTTCGATTTTTTTTTAAAGTAAAAAAGAAGGCATCTGATATTGCACGTAAATGTCAGAAACAGTTAGAAGATGGAGTATTACTGGTGGACATCATAAAAAAAGAATGCGAGTCGTCTAATAGTCGAAAAAGAGATGCCCATGGTAAAATGGCAGAAGCTCTGATCGAACTTAAAGAAACAATGACTCGATCCAGGAACAGCCTAAAATGTCAGAAAATGAAGACCCTAAGCCTAAGAAGACTAAGGAAAAGTCAGCTACATTCAACATTGTGACCAAAAAGAAGAAAAAAGCAGATGAGACTAAAAGTAAAACAAAAGCTAGCAGTAAAGACAAAGTCCTGAGGCTGTCACAAACACAAGAAAAAAAAAAACATATATCCGCAGAGAAAATGGCAGAGATGTTGGAGTTACTTGGAGGTGATAGTCCGGACAAAATTGGACAAACATCCCCAACTTTGAGCCAGGCAAGTTAAGTACAGTGAATACAAAAAGTTTTTCCTCAGCAGCTGATTGTGCTACACCCCTAAAAAGGATCATTAAGGATCATAAGACTAACACACCCAGACGATCCCCAAGGTAACAGTCACTGAAGGCCAGAAATAGGATTTATGATTACATCTCACCCGTAAAAACAGATGCAAGATTTACTACAAGCACTTGGGATGGAACATTTGTACGTTCGTCAAATGTACTAATGAAACTTCACGGAGTTCTTCAAGATGACCAGAGAACTTGTACTCAGGTAGAGTTGCAGCCTTACAGCAACAAATTGGATACACCCCCTGAGGTCAACCAGGAGCAAACCCTATATAAGCGTAAGTGAACTGTCATTGACATTATTTATTTGTCAACTATTAAGAAATGATCATTTGCAGGGTTCTCCATGAGCTGTTTTACTGTGTTGCTCCCGACACAGTAAAATTTTCTCCAACACAGTAACGATTCAAATTTTATGCATGCAACACAGTAAAAATTTTGCCGACACAGTAAGATCTGTGATAATTAGAAAATCTAAACACACAAATTCTCCCTGAGACTTTAATCAAACAATTATCTTTCAATTATAAAAGTTAGAGCACTTAAACACTAGGGCTTCACCTTGCATAATCAAATATCTCCTAAACCATCGCTTGACTTTACGCATGACGGAACAAAGACGAATAAGTTGTCTTCACACTACCTTTTCAGGGTCAATTGGTAGTTGCAATAAAATTCATTGTATTATTTAAAAAAAAATTTACATATGTCTTTTCTATAAAACCACGGCTCTAGAATAATTTTAATACTTATAAGTCAGACATAACGTCATAAGGTCATAACGACATGCTTAAAATTTTGAACATGTTTAAGGAACTCTTAAAATATTTTACTGTTCTGAAGTTTCTTTTTCTATGTAATGCAATAACTCGATCAAGAAAACTGATAAATTATCACTGCAATTTTACTTTAAAAATGTTAAGTAGTACGACTGTATCGGTCAGAATTTCCTCTGCTTTTCAGAACGTGTTTTTACTTTAATCAATATGTACGACCATAGCATTTGTGTAACTTATTAGCGATTTTTAAATAAGTGTGTGCATGTATTCTTTTGCAGTTTTCACAAATAGTGATTCAATTGCGAATTCGATCGCGAAAATACCGCAAAAATTTATTTCTTCGCGTTAACTCTGCAACACAGTAACATTTCAAATGATGGAGAACCCTGATTTGAAATATGTGTAATATGCAATTAATTAATGTTCATATCAATATAAATGCCCAGTTGGTTATTATTATCTTCTATAATTTCAAGGTGGACAGAGTACTAGTACAGGGGTAGAGGACGAATTCCAGCCTTACAGCAGCAAATTTGATCCACCCCCTGAGGTCGACCAGGCGCAAACCTTATATAATCGTAAGTGAAATGTCATTGACATTATTTATTTGTCAACTATTAAGAAATGATCATTTGAAATATGTGTAATATGCAATTAATTAATGCTCATATAAATATAAATGCCGAGTCGGTTAATACCATCTGTTATAATTCTAAGGTGGACAGAGTACTAGTACTGGGGTAAGGTACGAGTTTCAGCCTTACAGCAACAAATTGGATCCACCCCCTGAGGTCAACCAGGAGCAAACCTTGTATAATCGTAAGTGAAATGTCATTGACATTATTTATTTGTGAACTATTAAGAAATAATCATTTGAAATATGTGTAATATGCACTTAATTAATGCTCATATAAATATAAATGCCTAGTTGGTTATTACCATCTTCTATAATTTTAGTCTTTGGAATTACTCCAAGTGAAGGACATATGGCTGGGAATATTCTACAAAGAATTGGACAGGCTCTTCTTAATGGTACGCCAGAACCAATGCCTTATCAGCCTTCCATTCAACAATATTTCCCAGTTGCAAATCTAGAGTCAACCTACTACAACAGCACAGAGAAGATTGCTGAAACTAGTCAATCAAATGAAGCTGAAACAAGCCAATCAAATGAGGTATGGATTGAGTGCTTTTAATATGATTACAATCCTACAAGTAGTTAATTTCAGAAATTAAGATTTTTATTAATTCATTTTGATTGAAATTTCTAAATTATAATGTTTGTGCATTCTCCTAATTTTCTGTTAACATTTCTTTTACATATATATTTGTAATTAAATGTTTAACTTCTAAATTTCTCTCACTTTTTGAATTAAGCGGTTTATTTAAAAAGCGTTAACTGTACCAACCCACTTTATGCCGTTTAAAATGGGTAGCTATAAAATTCATTGCTTATAATTTAATTTTCATTCATTTGACGTAAGAAAAAAAGATGATTGTTCTAACAAAATGTCTTCAATTTTTACAAAATTTGAATGTAACGTCGGGCAGATTGATACGTTTTTGACAAAATTCATTGTGACATAGGCAACCCATTTTATACAATATGGAGTAAATTTTTTATCCAATCAAATACAGCGTTACAATCAGAATTAAATTATTTTTGTGTAAAGTCTCTTGTAAATAAGGGAAATAGGGGGTTTAAAGATTTTGAAGTGTATACATGATAATTAAGGCCTTCTTTAAGGGATTTCTAAGCACTGCACACTGAAAGAGCTCTAGTTAAAGTGTAGTTTTATGCAGCTACACTGATCTGCTCTTAGAAGTAAGATAATAAAAATGTTATTTCAAAGTTAATTACATGATTTTTAGGTAACCTGAGTAAATAAAGCTCTCTGTTTTTGTCCATGCGGTGTGCGTCATATGTTCATTTTTTACTGGTGTAGAGAGGGTCCTAAACCAATTTCCACCAATTTGGCATAAATCATTCATGGGTGAAGGCCAGGGGAACAAAAATTTTGAATTTAATGGACCCTGCCCTCCTGGGGCCTGAGGGGTGGGGCTAAAACTACTAAAATTAGTGCAATCTTTAAAATTTACTTCTTTACTTCAGGACATCAAGCAGTCAAACTGTGAGCATGAATGTAATAACCATCAAGTCTTCTACTGAAATTGCGAAATTCATGGGCCCCAGTGTCTGGTTCTAGTGTTAGGACGGGGCTCCATTTAATAACTATATAGTGAAAATGCATTATTTCTTTAAAAATCTTCTTCTCTGCTCCTGGGTATAAAATAAACTAAGTAAGTGTAAGTATATATTTATGATGAGGAAGGTTTCCTCTTCCAAAATTGTTAATTTTATGTCCGCCAGGGGTTCTGTTGTTAGTTCACGGGTCTATTCATTATATAGTGAAAATTCATTTTTGAAAAGCTACTTCTCTGATCCTTTGTATTAATTAACATTTTTGATAAGCAAAAGTGCCTTTTCTAAAATTGTGAAATGTGTGGACCAAGGGTCATGGGTTCATGTGTGGTAGTGGCACTACTGATTATTGTTGAACATTACTGATTAGTCGAAATATATAAGACCAAGAATAAGTATTTGAATGCATAATTTTCATTGATTTTTCCATTTTAAGTAAACAGCAGTGATTTCTGCTCACAAATAATCCATTGTCTTTGGATACTTTTTTTCTGTGGAAATAAGGCAGGATTGAATGAAGTTGCTTCAATATGCACACCTTATATATGATATATTTTTCTCCTAGTCCGAAAAGCAGTTTCTGTTAGTGTTTAGAGCTTCCTTAAAAATGGGTTGGTTGCCCTCAACTGACCAACTTGATGAAAATGGTCCAACTCCAAAACATTTAATAACCTCCAGGAACATTTTTTATGCATTCCAGAAAACAGATTTTTAGAATTCAGCATTTATGTTGAAATTTTCTGAGAAAAAAAATTTACCCCCTACCTATCGACTTTTTTCATCTTGCGCCAGGAGAGGGCATACAAGGCCAAAAATAAAATTCGCTTTGTTTGGCGTTGCCGACTGACTCAGGTAAATCGGTGCAGTATGGAGAATTTTTTCAGCTGATACAGATCATAATGTTTTTTTTTCGATATAATTTTCCGCATTCAGGTGTCTGTACATTTGCATAATATACAAAATGGGAAAGAATCTTGTAAACGCTTTATTGATCGAACAGTTTTCATTTAAAAGCATCTATGTGATGTTGAATTTGCATTTACAAATCCAAGCATGGCTGTGGAAAGCGGAAATGTAAATGGTATAATAGAAGTTGATGGCATGGCTCTCTGCAGTAATTTTTTTTTAATGGCAAAAATATACTTACAAATCACTTATACCAGTTTGAGTTAGAAATTTCAAGGTACAATGTCCCTGTCCAATTTGCGAGATGAATTAATCTAGCGGCCAGGCTTGGATTCGTGCCACTTTATCATTTTATGCCAATTCAATGTCGGCGATTTCTTATACCATGTATATTAAATGTTTAAAACTAATAGGGTTTGAAAATTAATAACAACTGGGTATCTATTTGGACTGACCCATCACATCGGGATACTAACAACATTTCTGAAATTCAATTTTAAATTGAAAAAAAAAAAAATAATTCCCCTACCTACTGACCGAAACTTATTAAGACTGAGTCAGCAACGCCAAACCAAGAATATTTTAATTGTGGCCCAAACATTAATTATTTTAAAGTTGCTCTAACTTTAAACATTTTAAAATGAGTTTTCAGTGATTGTGTTACCTACTCCTAATTAAACTTTTGTTTTATTATGTTGCTTGTTCAGTGTTGTTGGATGTACGTTCGAAGCAAGGGATAAAGATAAAGGTATTTATGTTCCCCAAACGAAGTTGGGGAACATATTGTTTTTACTCTGTTTCTTATTATTATTATTATTATGTTCCCCAAACGGAGTTTGGGAACATATTGTTTTTACTCGGTTTCTTATTATTATTATTATTATTATTATTATTCTTTTTTTTCTTATTTGTTCTCCGGTACTTTTTTGTCCGGAAGTGTTCTCAGAAACTGTTCACCAGACTGACC